AGTGCATCCTTAATTTAACTTATGCAGGCATATATTAAAAAAAAACCCCTTTAAATAAATCTTGATCTTTCGTTTATTAATTTTCCAATGTGGCACCGTCCACATCAGAAAGTCAAAATGGAAACGGTATTTTGATAATTCTATAAAGAAAATTTAATTAGGAACAATTTTTTATTTTTCATACACTTATGTATTTTTTAAATAAATAATTTTTTATTTATTTAAAATTTATAATATTAAGTGTATCAATTTATTTAATAATATATAAAAATTATATATAGATATGACGAAGAAATTGCGCTCCTATCACCGCCCTTCTGTAAACAGTGCAATAGCTCATTCGTCCTCATCACACTGAAAAGCAAGTGGACTCCACAAATTGAAATTCCTTCTGTAGCTTTTCCTTTCTTCGTGGCAGAAGAATCACAGCCTAAATATGGGAAGGCAAGGCCACCGCGGAGCTAAGCGGCCCAACGGCGGAGCAGATATGGCCCTTCTGGGAGGACTTCTGCAACCTCCACAAGTGGCACCCATTATCGATACTTGTTACCAAGTCGAGGGATCCCTAGGACAGCCCGGCCTAATCCGCTACTGCTCGGCCAAGAAGCCATCATTACCCGGCGATGACGATGGAATCAACAGGTGAAAAGAGAAGGTACTGATGATTGATCCCGTCAAACCGTTGCCTGAGCTCCGAGTTGCTGGAGAATAATATAGGGTTCAAGTCTTATGTATCTACAATTAAGGTGGGTAACGGCGGCGGTGGGTGCAAGATCAAGTATGGTCGTGCTGATCCGGCGGAGGGATATGGAAATTTGAGGATTTGGTTGCTTATGTTGAATCTTGTCTCCTGTCCAAGGCAAAGAAGATGCAGCTGAGTGTTCGGTAGTACTCTCTCAAATAATGTTTAATTTTGTGCCAATATTACTCATCATCACCAATTTGTTGGGATTTGTGACTTTATCAAGAAAAAATGAAAAATTTGTTGCATTTGTGACCTAATGTATGTGTTTCATTTCATGAAAGACTTTGGGAATTAAATGAATTCAATTAGTATGGAAATTGGTATCCAGTCAAAATGTGAAGGGATCTAGTATAAGACGTTGACAATATATATACATACATATATATATATATATGTTTATGGTTGTTGGGAAAATAAAATAGTTGAATGAGGAATGTTGGTTGGATCTAGTATATATCTACATGCGAATGGCTCAAATACACAGTCAAAATCAAGTTGTTATAAAAAATTTTAAATTTTCTTATTCAGAGACAATGTAAATATCATGTGATTAATATTGTTGGTTAAGGTTAATCCCCTGTTTTTTTTTTTTTTTTTTTTTTGGTCTGAAAAATTTTCAATCAGATACAATAATTATAATTAGCTATTTTCACTTCATGTGATAAATGAATTAATATTTGTTTACTTAATTATTAGATGTCATGAATCATGTCAATATTATAAGGTTTTGTTATAAAAAAATAAAAATTATGCATGTATCAACTTTGAGTTTAAAAAAAGTAGAGGGAGAAAAAATGATAAACGAACATGATTATTGGAGCGCCACATTCCTTGAGGGGAATAAAAACGGGAATCAAGTTAGTTAGATATAGTGGGAAAGGTACTCTATCGGTCACAAAATAAATGTTGTTGTTTAATTTTGGGTTTATTTTAAATTAAATATTATTTTTTTATGCTTTAAGGTTAACAAATACGCTTTTTTATATTTTAATCATATTATTATTAATTTATTTTAATTAATTTTTTTGTACATCTGATTATAAACCATATAAGAAGATATACCTTTTCGTTATTTTTAAATCCTTTCTTACCCGATTCAAGAGTCGAACTTGAATCAAGGTTCAAACATAAGATTTTCAATTTGAAATCTCAAGTTTTTAATTGTTGAATCATCATATTGAAATTATTTATTTTGATTAATCATTCTATAATAAAAAGTCTCACTTTATCTTTTACCTTTATTCTCAAATTCTTAATTACAGGAAAAAAAAAATCAAATAATGATAGTTATTATAAGTTATAAAGAGTAATTTGACTTAATTGCCTCCAAAATCCCATATATTCTAACACAGATTTGCAAAATGATTGTTTGATTCTTTAGCTTGTTCCAGGAAGTATAAATTACTCAGCTAAAGGCAGGAATTATTTAGTCCAGACTCTAGACTGCACTTCCCCTTTTTCTCCACTTGTCCAATTTTAGATTTTTGTTTCAATGAAAACAATCCAATTTAAGAATTTGTTCCGGTGAGAAAAGTCGAACACAATTAATTCATTTACATTTTATTTATTACTTTATTATTGTTTCACAATGAAATGATGTTTTTAGTTCTAAGGGAATTTCACAGTGCGATGAGGGTTGGTTTGTATTGAGTATATTAAACAGAAGACAATGTATCTAGGAAAAGTTCAAAAGAAATACTAACTATTATAAATTTATATAAAATAACAAAAAAAGTATTATGCAATTTAAATTATTTTAAATTATACAACTTTAATTGTTAGATGAAAGTAACTTCCTTAATATTGGAATTTATTTTTCCATTCAATGGTATTTTTATTTTATAATACGATCAAATTTAAACTATAAAATAGAAAACTTATATTATAATAAAAAAATATTAAAAATTATAATAAAATCTCATTCAAAAGCTATGAACTTATAAGTTGTAATTTCAACTTCTACCCTTTAGAAGTTGTAATTTCAACTTCTACCCTTTAGAAGTTGAAAGGCACTCTGAAATAAGTGTTTGCCCAACTTCAACTTTATTTTTTTCAGAAGCTGAGCCAAACAGGCACCATCATTCAGCAAAATGAGAAATAAAATAAAAATGGACAATATTTTAAACAAGGATGTTTTATATATATATATATATATATATATATATACCTGATATGTTGATTCATAAAATTTCAAATTTCGCTGAAAGTCCTTCAGCCTAAACGCACATGTTGAAGAATTGACCTTCTAAAACAGGAAAACAGACTTTGGTGCAGTTTGGAATCAGTGAAATGACTTAACACTAGGCAAAAGAAAAACACTTGCTCCGTCCTGCGAGTTAATTCACCAAAGCACTAGCATTTTCAGCTCTGACACGTAATCTCTTCTCCATCCAGTTAATTATGTCCCCTGCTATCTCTTCTCTCTCTGGTTCAAAGAGAAGGTCGTGCAGGAAGCCATCATAGAGTTTTATGTCTTTGAACTTGGAGGCTGCCTCATTGTAGAGATCCTGTGAGGCTAGTGGATCTGTGACTTTGTCTGCAGTTCCATGGAGAACAAAGAATGGAACTGTAACAGACTTAAAGTTCCGGAGTAAGTATGATGAAATGCGTAATATCTCATGCCCTGTTCGGACCCTTATTGGTCCTGTATAGACCAATGGATCAGAGTACTTGGCCAAGAGCGCTGCTGGATCCCTTGAAACTGGTATGCCTCTCTTGTTTGCACCTTTAAACTGAAACCTGGGAACAACCAGAGAAAAAATGGGAGCCACAGCCTGCATAAGGACATCATAAGAAAATATTAGAAATGTGAACGTCAGCAATTTGCCATATCCATCTCAGTTGGTATCTAGAATACCAATTCTGATGCTCTGAATCATTTATAGCCTGCTGGTATTAATGAGGGAACCATCATCACATTAAGCTCAAAATTGATTGGAAGAAAATGTGAGGGAACAATTCCACAAACTTATTTTAGGTGTCTTCTGCTAACCAGAAGATTTTGCAGATGTCAGCAATTGGAAAGATTACCCCATGGTTGCAAAAATGAGCACAGCGTTAATAACAAGGCATACTTCTTCTGTTGGTTATTAAACTGTTCACAGGGGTCAGGGGTTTTGTTCTTTAGGACACATATAAGTTGAACAAAGCCTTCACAGAAATACAGGTAAACACTATAGCAATCAGAACACCACAAAACCAAAGCAGCAGCAGCAGCTTACCCCAACAATAGGATGTGCTGGCTTAACACGCAAAGCAGGTGATGTCAGAACAATTCCCTCCAGCATTTCTTCAATGTGAGGATCGGTAGCGGCCTACACGAAGGCACACATTATTAACCAAAAAGTTCTATCAATCATTTTGGTAGCTAATTCAAAGAACTTATACAATACCTTTAAAACCACAGCTCCACCAGTAGAGTGACCAAAAAGGAAGCAAGGTACGCCTGGATTTTCTGATCTGGCCTTTTCCAAGAAAGCCCCCTGAAGAAACAGAACATAAAGAATTTGCCATAAGCTTTCAAGCACATTAATATTCTAATAGTTGTGAACACCAAAATCATAATTGCTTTTGACAGATAAGCTAACATGATGTGTATGAGAATTCAATGATTTAGGTTGGACCAATATACACGTGTCACAGATAAAAGGCTGCATGAATGATTTGATTCAAATTTAGGATCAACAGGTACAGTCTACAGAAGCCAAATGCAGAACTTACAGTGTCAGCAACAACTTGGTCAAGTGAAGGTACATATCCATGCAATCCATCACTTCCACCATGACCTACAGCAAGAAAGCATTAGTTTTTACCATGATATTAGCTTGCAATTTCAAGAACATTTTCAAATGGAAAGAAGATACATTCATGTCAAATGATGTACCTATCCAGTCCATGGCATAAACACCAAAGCTACATGAGGTAAGTTGCCTTGCAAATTGAGCATACCTTCCACTGTAAACAGATTTAAAAAAAAAAAAAAGAAGAAGAAGAGAAGTAAATAACAATAAATTTATATCAAAGAAAAAAAAATCAAAGCACTTGACAGGATGATGAATTTTTTTAGCAAAATTTAAACAAGATAAACTAACTCAAGGCATTGAAAATAAGCCAAAAATGGTTACCTGTGTTCATTGAGCCCATGTATGATGATCAAAATGCCCCTGAAATTACAAACAGTCAGCAATTACATGACTAATATGAGCCAGTATGACAATGGAATGAAAACAGCAGTAAAGGAGGGGACAAAAAGAGTGCCTAAAAATCAAGCATCGGATGCCCTATTTGACTTGTTCTTTAGTTTATTACCCTGGTGTAATAGAAGTATCTAACAAAACATCTCTTGGTAAAAATATACCAAGAAGTAGAACTAAAACCAACAGGTTAGAAATATTAAAAAGAAACAAAAATACTTTTTATTTTATTTATTTATTTATTTTTGTATAGAAGGAAACAACAAAGCAAAAATCTTAACTTGAGCGGGCACACTGGACCCAATAACGAGGTTAGTATTAGTTCAACCTCAAAAGGTTGAAGCAATCAAAACTTTGAATTTTCCATCTCTCTTTTTCCTTTTTCTTTTTTAATAATTTCCACTGAAACAGATAGATGACAACTAAATGAAAAACCAGCAATTAACATGAAACAATATACAACATTTCTAAACTGCAAATACAAACCAGAGTTTAGCTCATCTCCATTGGGATTTTTTCAGTTCTCAAAATTTGCATGCAGTAGAACCATTTCATATGCATTTTGTAACCAAACAGCTTATTTATAGAAAAAAAAATGGGTTAAACTTAGTTTTAATTTCTATTTCTTCCTCATCTTTAAATCCACAGTTAATTTCCATTTCATTTCTTAATTTGAAAGGATACCAGCTATGATTCCTTTAAAAAACCAAACTAAAACTCTAATTTAAACAAGTCAACCAAGAGGAACCCTTACTTCAATTCACCGCTGACCGGAAGCCACGACCGGCAAAATAAAGCATTCCTTCGAACGCCAAAGAAGAGGGAGGTGCTCCATCGGCATCGAATTTCCCCGTCCCCTGTCTCGAAACCCATGTCCACTTCCTCGGCCAGAGCTCTCCTTCTCAAGGTATCCTCCTCATCCCGCCTCCAAACCGACCTTCTCCTGGAAATTTTCTTCGGAGAATCCGGCGCAGCAGCTGCCTCAGGAATTATCTGCCGAGAGCAGCGACGCCGACGACGCGGAAAGAGGAGAAGAACGAGGTACAGACATACGGATTGAAGTATAATCAGCGGCGTCCTGAGGATCCTCAGGATCGGGATAATCCGATTGCTCGCTCCCGATGTCAATGGCTCCATCTCCCCCGCCGTTGCCATGACAGAAATAGAAAAAAAAAATCTTAATCTCGGGGGAAAAGAAGAACCAGAAAATATAGAAAAACGGCAGCGAGAGAATTGAGGGAAGAGACGGAAGAAAGATTTTGGGCGGGTCCGAAGGTGTATTTATAGCGCCGGAAGGTTCCGTTTTGAGAAAAAAGAGAGTATTAGCTGGGGAAGGCTGAGACTACTAACAACTGCGCTCGATGACGTGGCTTATTTTGAACGGTTGAAAAACTTCATCAGTTTTGGTGGAGAAGATCAACGGCCATGATGGAGTTAAAACTGGTGGGGCCCGTAGCTTCCGGTGTTAGATATATCGGGTGCGTGGGAACGATGCTGGTTCCCACAGGCACATTTCTCGAAGTTAATTAAAAGGAAAATAAATGGTGGTCTGTTTGGTAGGAGAAGAAGAAAGTACGAAGAAGAAGATTGCGTTACGTTTTCGGTTAATTCCGCGTGGCTAAGCCGGCTTGACGCCGATGAATTGAAATGGCTAGCCGAATTGGTTGTTAAGCCGAGCCGAGGGTGAGCTGCGATCATCTATTTGGTAACATTTGCAGCCTTTTAAGATTCTCGCGACTGAGATTCGCCGACGTGGCAGTCGATGGAACGGCGAGCTAATGTTTTCGGCGGCTAGTATCAGTGGAACTCCATAAACACATAGAGGATAATTTC